TTCTCAAACTATCTACCATTGCAACAATACATTGTAAATTATGAACAAATAGAATGCTAATACATACCAAAATTGTCACAATGTGAACAGAAAAGGATGTCTCCTAGAAAGCCTACATGTGAGGAATTTTAAATGTGTGGGGGTTGCTTTTCATTTACTTTTGGTGTTTTGAAGAAAGTTGGAATATGGAGTGATCCAGCAGAGAAGTTATAATTATTTCATTTCTTTGGTGTTTTTTGGGTACCAGGAATCAAACTCTAACTCATGACCTCATGCTTGCCAGGCAGGCGATGTGCCCCTGAGTTAAATCCCCAGCCTTATTATTTCAAAATTTCAACCTTTAATTATATTTCCAATTACAACTGTAGTAAAAGTATGACGTTACATACTAACATATGTATTATATAAATTAATTCAAATTAGAATATAATCAATTATTTATCAATTATTCATGAACATTTATCAATTATTCACGAACATTCCTTAGATAAGAAATGATGGAAATATTAATAAGAATAGAAAAAAGCACATTTAGTTTGCTTAAAGATGAAAAAGAGATGTGATTTATAAGAATCAACAAAATCTAGACAGAATAGTAACACTGTTTTCGGAGAAACACATTGAAGGGAAAAGATTCTTTGGGGAGTGAATGAAAGCTTTGAAAAAATGGCAAGCTTTCCCTAGAAATAATTGGAGTAATAAGACAAGAATAACACAAGAAAACTGCATTCAGAAAAGCACACAGTTCATACACTGTGCTGTGGGTTTGCGAATTGAAATCTTGGCCCTGGACTGAAACCTTTTATGTGCCAATAATAAACTTTTGGGCTTGTGGGCAGATTAGAAAAGTGAAGACATGCGCAGGGCAGTCAGAATTAAATGCGATCTGCCTCAGGGATGACCCTAAGCAAGTTACTAAGCTGTCAGTGGTGGGAGGGTAGCAGGATGAGGCTGGATGAGAGAGGGCAAGACTCGATCCACTCACACGGTCTTTCAGCTATTAGACCTCTCTGGAGCGCACTGTATTAGCTCCTAATTATGCACTGCCGATCAAAGCCCTTATTTTATAGTCTACTCTTTGCTGTTTGGTACAACCCTGAAATACAGTGTTTAAATACACTAAAAATGAATAGTTTCTGAGTGCAGAAAGGCAGATGTAATTAGCAGGTATTGCGGACATACAACAAAGCTGTCCAGTGGGCTTCAAGAGACAGGTGTCTGCCACTGCCTAGCTGTTGTTGCCTCATTTTCATTTTGAAATCAAGGTTATTAACATTTGCCATCTCGTCAGCATCATTCTCTGAGGACACTGAAATTACCTTGTTGAATAGTTGTGGGCATCATTAGGAACGCAAAGCTGGGTAAATGCAAGGCTGACTCCACTGTCGCTCCAAACATGTCCTGTGGAAGTTTTTGTTGCAATTATGCTTCAAAGCAATAGGATATAGGGATTTGAATCACTAGACAAATCTGCAACACAACTTTATTTTGTGTGGTATATTTAATACAAGATTTTATTAAACTCTTTGAGAAGTTGTCCCCTTAAGGGTTTAAGTTAAATAGCCTGGATTAGAAAACTGAAATTTTATAACAGCAGAAATTCTAGCTTTCCACTTTATTACATGAACGTCACACAAGGGATTCTAGAACAGTAGATGATTTTACATAACATGAATTCAATACTTATCTGAATTCTGCAGGTGTACATTTTAGACTGGATCCTAAGCAACCAATGTTTTAGCCCTTATGTCTACAACTATAATTTTTGGAGTTTTTTAAAAATTTCAAATATAAAGTTAATTGTTCATGAAATATTGAATAATGGTATTACCACTTACAATTTTGAAGATTGTCTTTCAGAATAGAGAAAGTATATTTCTGAATTCCTGTTTGGAGCATATATCATAACGTATAAAACTCCTTTGCGTGAGACACTGTCACCAGGGCAAACATGAACATTTCTACACAGTGCAATGGGTATTCAGTTAAGTGCAAGTAGATAAAGACTTTGAGTCACTTTGTGTGGGCTAATTTCTAGTTCATCTGCCAAATGAGCCTGAAACCAATTTATTTTCAGAACATATGGATATTAGACTTGTGAATGCAAGACTTTAGATCTCTACTAATAAAATAAAACAAAGTAACATTATATGAGTAGAAACAAATATCCTGGCATTTAAAAACTGTGGACCAAATGTTTGGGTTCAAACCCTCTGGTAAGATATTTAATTCCCTCTTGCCCCTTAGCTTCTTCATGTTCAGTAAGGGTGCCTGTGCTGTAGAGTTTATGCAATGCAATATGTTAATATTTATAAAATGATAAAATGCTTGGCATATAAATGTCTTTTAAGTACATTCGCAAATAGCCATCTATTTCACTTAATTTAGAATCAGAAAATAAGTAAGTAGTAGTTACATTTATGTCTCTGAAAACAAAAGCTGTGGCCAGTTCCAACACTCATACCTGCACATTGATGCGTAGACGTTACACTTCGCCTTGTCTGTGGCTCAGGCAGGAGAGACACAAAGGAAACTAAGAAGAACTCACTGCACTATTGCCGAAGAATTTTGGACAGAGGGAAAGATTAGATGATGGATTTAAAAGACACCCTAAAAACAGAGCTATCATCCTTCTTTAGGGAAGAATTAACAATCCCAGAAATGGGCTTCTCTTGGAATAAGACACTGATATCTTACAAAGCATATCATAATGAGGCATGAGAGGGGGTGCAGTGCAAGTCTGACAGTCCAAGGTCACTGTCCGAACTCAGCTCTGCAGGATGCCATGGTCTCCAGATGAGGATTACTTATTTCTGTGTGCAAGTTGGGTATCTGAGATGTAAACAGGTGTGGGCTCCTTGTTTTCCTAAACTATCTTTTCTGGGAAAAATAAGCCACAGGTTGTTCTGGAGTGTAAAGGCATGGCTTGTGCGTTCCTTTGTCACAAGCTTTTCCATGGCATGGCAGTCGTGGGTCCTGGAACACAAAATGTGAGTGAGCTCAGCTACACGCGGCTTCATGGACAGCTGTCACTGCCCCCCGACTCTCAGCCCTTGCTCTGGTTTAGGTCTCCAAGTTTTACAACTGTTAATATAATTTCAATTAATCTTCTGGAGGTATTTTTACCCTAATTTTTAAACTTGTAAATGAATTTTTACAACTTATAACAAAATTTTAGTATTTGTTATGGTTTGTGTCTGGATGTCCCCCCAAAGTTTCATGTGGACATGCAATGGACTTCTAGAGTTTATGATTGATCCATGGCCCAATGCTGGGATTATGGGTGTGAGTGCTACACCTACCCTGAGGGGGATAGTTTGCATATGCAAGGGAGGGAGAGAGGATGCTTGCCACTCCCCCCTTATGCTCTTCTTGTTTTTTGCTGTTTTCTGCCGCCTTGAACCATGTGCTACTCTGCCTTGGAGCCAGCCAAGTATGGACTGAAACCTCCACAAACTGTGAGCTAAATAAACCTTTCCTTCCTTCATTTTGGATGTCAGGTATTTTTTCTCAGCAAAGAGAGAAAAGTGCCCAAGACAGTGGTAAAATATGCCATTAAAAAGACATGGTTGAGGGCTGGGGATATAGTTCAGCATCACAAGTGCCTGCCTAGCAAGCACAAGATCCTGAGTTTGGTTCTCAGTACCAAAAAAAGAAAGAATAAAACGTGGTTGGCTGAAATCGTACAATATCTTGAACATAATATCTTATAAGAGATTTAGGTGCAACACTATTGTATATTACCTGAAATAATTGAGATTTTGAGAAACATGAATAATGAGGAACTTCATCAGGTGATGGTCCACTTCTGTACTTAAGGGTTTTGTACAGTTAGCTCATTAAGAACTTCTTTGGTACCTACTTGATAGGGACCATACCAAACTGTACACTTTCTTACAAAGCCAGATGGATGCAATACATCTGACATTTGCTGTGTTAAATCTTTCAGTATTTCTTAGTATTCTCATAAGAAAGTGTTCTTTGACTTTGTTTGCTAGGCAGGTTCCTAATAGGGAAACTAGGCTCCCATCCTAATTCTGAATAAGAAGGGACAGAAGTCTTAGGGAGACTTTATGCTGAACTAGGAGAAACCATTTGTAAAAGTGTTTCAAAGTAAGAGAAAATGGAGTGAGAGGAAAAGTATTTCAATTGCTGACAGAAAATAATCACTTCTGGGGATGACATTTTAGAAATAATCCTGTGTGGGTAGTAACTATAGTTAGCTAGGAGCAAGAGGTTTTGTGGTACTACTGCATAGATGGTGACTGTAGACAGCAACTATGGACTGTATATCTAAAAAGATCTGAGGAGATGATTCTGAATATGTTCAGCATAAAGAAGGGGTAACTGTCTCAGGAGATAGGCACCTTTAACCTGATATAAATATTATCAGATGTTTACATAGGTCAAAATATCATAGGGTACCCTGTAAATATTCACATATTTATTTTTATACGTCAGTTAATGAACTGAAATTAAAAATTAAAAATATAAAATAATTTGCTGACTTGACTTTTGCGATACTGTAAACACAGCCCTTGTATTCATGCAATTCCTTCCTCTCTCTTGATATTCTCCTGTGGTTGTGCTGACTTTGACCACTGCCTTTACCTGGAACTCTGGAAGCTTCTATAGCATTACCCTAATTTCTGTATGAAGCCTTCTGTGTTCTAGCACTTGACGCATGCTGGAAATCACTTCACAACCTTCACTTTTCAAAGTACTTGTGGATAACTTTCCATTTAGGGTTCTGGAATTTGTACAAAGCCATGGAGGTTATATTGCTTTTGAACTAAAGGCTTTTAGTTTGTGGAATTTCCTTTAGCTAGAAAGACATAGAAGTCTATGGTCTTACAGTTTTCCCAGCTTTAGTATTTTCCCAGTTTTATATAATTCTACTGATTTATTTTCATTTTCAAATGTGGAAATTTAACCATTATTTCTATACTGGAGAAGAGCTGACTAATTTTACCTTCTCCTTTCTTTTCTTTCTTTTTCAGTTGAAAGAGACAGGGATTTCTCTCACCAGAGAAGGCATTACAAAGAATTTAGGTTTGATCTGACTCAAATTCCTCATGGAGAAGCAGTGACAGCAGCTGAGTTCCGGATATACAAAGACAAGAGCAGCAGTCGATTTGAAAATGAGACAATTAAGATCAGCATATATCAGATCATCAAGGAATACATGCACAGGTATCAACGTCTCACACATTTTCATGAAAAACAAATGCTACATTTTATTAAGAGCTACTGAGAATCCCTGTGACCTATCAAAAACTGTTTTCTTTGGGTATAGTGACATTCAGTACCAGGTCCAGATACACTGAAAAGTAACAGTAATTGATCTGAAAATTTCTACATTTCACAAATTTTCCCTGCTTTTCCATCTGTGGACTAAATTGTCTCAGGCATCGCAATATGAGCTTTCTAGGATTTTAATCTTATTTTGTTAATTTGCCTGTCATCCTATAAAACTTCTATTTTATTCTGCCTCCATGTTTTTTTCCTATATTAGCAATCAAACCCAGGGCCTTTGGATGTGAGGCAATATTCTTGTGACCAAGTCTGGTTAAATTGCCTCTGCTGGCCTCAAATATATGATTCTCTTGCGTTCCTAGTAACTGGAATTATAGGTGTGCACCACCACCCCTGGCCCCATATAAGACTTTTAATTAAGATGATTTAAATCATTTGGTTTTCTTTAAATTAAAGAACTACTTTACTTTTCATGGGCATATGTGTAAATTATTTTTGCATTTTTAATGTGAGATCATTCTGTTTGCAATAGGTTCTGAGAGTCAACTTGTATGTATTCTGTCTAAAAGTACTTAAGAACTGCACAAAATGGGTTGTCTAAAATACTAACTATATGGACACTTAATTAATAATTACTGCAAATGAGTCCTCAAATATAAGAAGTAAAAAGGGACCTTGGTGGTTTTCTCTGGGGGCGAAGGAGAGTAGATGGGAGATGCATATAATGAAAACTGTTATGTGCATGTATGCAAACACATTGAAACTCAAGGTTTTATAAAGCTAATAGGCATCCATTTACCTATATTTCCAACACAATGCAGAAATCTTTGTGTGACACCTTTTATGGGTGCTTAGTTGTCTTTGTTGTCCAGCTCTCACTCTCTCTCTCTCTCTCTCTCTCTCTCTCTCTCTCTCTCTCTCTCTCTCACACACACACACACACACACACAATTTAAGTATCAAATATGTAGTACCGCCATGCACAAACTTAATTCTTTCCACAATTCTGGTCTCAAAATGAATTAGATGGGAACCAAATCAAATTCAATGGTTAGGTTCAATGTTGACTTGATGGGGAACATCATATTACAGTGATAAATGCATACCTATTTTATAGCATCACAAGTCACAATAACTAAATCTTGGAAATATTATATATGTCCATCAATAGATCAATGGATAAGGAAAGTGTGGTATATGTACACAATGGTATAATACTCAGCCAGAATGAAGGATAAATTTAAGTCATTTGGAGGGAAATGGATACATCTGGAAATCACAACGCAAAGTGAAATAAACTAGATAGAGTAAGTTGAATATTCATGATTTCTCATATGAGAAATGCAAATTGTCAATAATTGAAAGGGCAAGACAAAAAGATGATAAGAGACAAAGAAGCAGACCTTTAGGAGATGGGAACAGAATGTAAGGATGGAGGGAAGTAGGAAAAAGATGAAGGGAAGAAGTAGAAAGGATCTATAGCCTCTCCACAATGAAGGTATTCATTACGTATCACAACTGTGCTAAGGAGAAAAAAGACATGGAACCAGTCTAGGTCCTCACGGACAGGTGAGTGGGTAAAGAAACTGGGGTATGTGCGCAGTGGACTGCAGCCCAGCCGCAAAGCTCGTGACATTTTCTGGAAAATGGGTGGGGTTAGGGTTATCACATTAAGAGCAATAAGCCAGCCTCAGAAAGATGAACACTGCATGTTTTAATTAATATGTGGAATCTAAAGTAACGGCATGAGAGAAGGAAGAAGACTATTATCAGACAGGAGAAAGGGGATGAGGAGGAGGGGGCGAAGCAGAGTAGATGGGAGATGCATATAACGAAAACTGTTATGTGCGTGTATGCAAATACATTGAAACTCAACGTTTTATAAAGCTAATAGGCATCCATTTACCTATAAAAGCCTCTACTTTCTCTTTCTTTACAGCTGAGTAATACCCCATTGTATAAAAATACCACATCTTTTATTGCTGATGTCTGTGGTCTGTTGGGAGGAATGTCAGCGCTTGAAGTTTTCTTTTTTCTTGACCAATTTTGCACGCTTGAATTTGGTAATCAGAATGACTGATCTTTAAACAATACACAGTGTAACAACCATTGTTGAACTCTTACCATCTTGTATGATGAAGCTCTGCAGCATTTCCAATGCTTTTATTTTATTTTATTATATTTATTTACTTACTTAGTTCTACCTGTTACTGTCCTTGATTGATCAATCTTACATTCTTATGTCTGGTGGACTGAGCAACTTGGTTGAAGATAACAGTATGCAATGCAGCAACCATTGTTAATTCCTATCATTTTGTTTTGAGGCCGTGTATCATTTTTGTTGTTTTGATTTTGTCTTCATTGTTGTTTTGTCAGTTTTCAAATTTTTAAAATAAAAAAGACAAATTCAAAAAAGCTAATTGGCACTGACAAAAATATATTTAAAATGGGATGAATTGGTCTTATTTTTTCTTAAGATGCAAGGAAAAGCATATTTTCCCCAGAGAAAATGATGATAAATAATTTTTTCTTTCTTCTATGGAGAAGTTTAATGTAATGTGGAACTTTGCTTTTAACTGTCTGCGAGGAGGACTAGGCTAGTAATATATCATTTCTATGTCATATGCTCATAGTAAAAATGGAAAGAGTTCCAATAAGAAAATGTAATTTTAAAATCCAATTAACAATTTAAAAGTATCAACTGCATCTGGGTTTGTACACACACACGCACACACACCCTTGGATTGTTTTAAAAACATGGGTCACCCTCAAAATTTCTATCATCAGACTTGTAGATTTTATCTCTAGTATTTTGACTAAAACTCAGAAAAACTTGAGAAGTCAGAGCAAGCTGCAGAGTTTAATGAAGCGCCTCTGACAGCACGTGGACGTTTTCACTTAGGTAATGTGTACTTTCCCCAAGGTACTGCCTCGGAGGGCTGGGTGGGATCCTGGCAGTAATTTAAACTGACATTTTATGGATGTGTTTTATATTCAAGGCATCACCTGATGCATAAACCATCTATTTTATGAATTCTTTGACAGTGTTATGTAATCAAATTTAAATACTAGTAGATCATTTATGTCACCTCTTTTCCCACTTATTCATCTTTAGGACTTACAACTCCTAAAGTCATGTACTCTTCCATCTCCCATCTCCCCCATTTATGCCTACACATATTTAAATATGTGCAGTTAAAGAAGTGTTCTGGTATTTATCCAACTTTTTATTTTTCTTGGTTAAAAGTTAACACATTTTTTATCATTTCACTTATATAATCTTTTTCATAAAAGGCCAACAGCCCTAAATTCTGTGTAGAAGGCACCACTCTGCAGTCACACGTCATATATCTGTATTATTGGGAAATGAATTTCCACATCATTGAATTTTCCAGATAATCCAGCGGAGTTCGGCACGCTTTTGTTGACTCCTACCACGTGGTGAGCCCAGGGGCCACGAGGCCAAGTACATAAGCCCGCAAAGCTCACAGCCTGGGGCTGGGCTGCGGTGGGCCTGCCTCACACAGACTTTCATAACTAGAATACAACGTGCTGAGAACGATGATGTCAGTGTGCACTGAGTGCTGCAGAAATACGAAGGCAGGGAAATTAATTCTTTACTTGGGTGGATGAGGCCTTCAGGGGAGGCTCTGGGAGGAGTTTACCTCTGAGCTGAACAATTCAAGAACAGGAACTCTCTACAGGCATCAAGACAGAAAGACACAAAGTTATCTTAGAAATACTCCTATGTATTAAACATTTAAATGTATAAGAATTACACAAATCTGTACAAATAGAGTGGCTGATGCCAGTGCTACAAGTAATACAAAAAGTAGTTAAATTTACGCATTTCATGAATACACACCATCAGTCTGGTGCTAAGTTTTTGCTTGGATTAAAAATTTCACAAATGTATATGCTTATATACTCCCCAGAGAAAACATGCTCCATATAAGGCAACCATCTCCTAATTCTGTGTTCTGAATATACCTTTCTGTCCTCCGCTGTGAACCTGGCTGGTGTCACTAGGCACCTTCTCTACTTGGTGCCCTTGACTAGGTCCTCATCATGCAGATTCACAGGCAGCTTTGTATCCCATAATCACCCTCCTCCCCCTCCTTTAAGATGTGATTCTCCTGTGCACACCCTTCAGAATACATACTGGCAGTTTCTGCTCAGCAAGATTTTCTGGCACCTTTGGAGCAGGATACTCAGCTAGGAGAAGCCATCTGGACAGTATGCTAGCCATAGCTGAGAGCTTTGAATAGGCCCTCTAGGAAGCACTGGCGATGCCTGGGTCACTCTAGCTGGTCTGTGGGTATGCGGAGGAGATACATGGGCGGGGATGCTGCCATTCCTGAAAGGGCCAGGGAAGCCACTGCACCCAGCAAAGGATGATCTGATCCAAAGTGTTCGCGTCACCCAGGTTGAGAAATCTGCTTATTGGAAGGTCCAAGTCACAAACCTAAACATAGGAATGACTTTTCCCATAAAATATGTACTGTACCTGTTAATTTTCTTTGACTAGTCACATTTCATAGATACCTAATATGAAACAACTTTTAGGAACTTGTATTGAATGTGTTGCTCATTCATTGGGACTGTGAAAATGTGTTGGGCTCTCTGTGTAATAATTTCATGTTTTATTTATTTATTTTTTCCTTGAATAAAGACAACTCCTGTGTGTGGATGTGGGGCATGTTTAGATTTCTCCTCAGGGGAACGATGGAGGGTGAATATTAAAAATGTCTTGACAGTTCAAAACAATTGAATTTTTAAGTAGAAATTCAATTTGTTTTGCAGTACTGCCATGGTACTCAATTTTAGCTAATATTGTCCATCACCAATTTTCATCTGAACATTTTAAATATAGCATAGAATCAGATAGTCTAAAAAATGGATGCTAAGTGAGATAAAATTGCATAATTTCACAATTA